TAAATGTTTCTTTCAATGAGTACAGTGAAAAACTAATGAAAAATAAGAAAGGTTTCATTAAGGATCACATCTTTTCTCGTGAAGGGAATGATAAGCTGAGGTAGAAAATTCTGAAAGCCCATTAGGAGGCTGAAACCAGGAAACATAACTCCATAGATTAGAGATTCAAAATGGGCTTAGGAAACATAAAATCAGGACTCTCCGGGGAAATGGTTAAGTCACAGCCAAAGGCATTAGCACTGAATTAAGAGGAATATGAGCTAATGAGAAGGGGGCAGAGTGCTGAGGAGCCTGGGGAGGCAAGGTGACTAGGGATCAAGTGCTGGACTGAGAGGAGGGAGGGCGGGAGGAGGCAGACAGCACTGATATGCTAAGCAGGCTCCCCTCCAGCAGGCGGGGCAAGGTCTGCGGTGGGACTGAGCTAGGACTTCAGACATGAAGCCCGGACCTGCAAATGGCCTGTCCTCACACACATGGGGGTTCTGACTGGTGGCAGGGACTGAAGCAGTGCGTGGCCTGGAGTGAGACCAGACAGAGTTAGAGTGATACGGGTTTATGTGAAAGAACAGGTGGTTTGTTTCCTCATCTCCACTCTATCCATAAGGCTCTGAGGCTGTGTTTTCTTCTTTTTGAGGAAAATGAGGAGCTGAAGCTGCTCTCTGAGTGCACGGAACAAGTTGTCTTCATTCCCTGGTAAAGGAATGGCAGGTGGGAAGGACCAGGGCAGACGCTGGCCCTGAGCACAGCAGCAAGGAGTGGGTGGGGGCGGGGAATCCTGTCAGGGTCTCCAAACCCAGTCTGCACGAAGTGTGACCTGTTACAGCTCCAAGCAAGACGTGGCTTAGACTCTGCCTCTTTTGCAAACAAGTAGTAGTAATCACAAGCGGTTAGTAGTACAGGTAGTTAGTCCTGGGCTGGGCTGCAGCACAGCTCGGCAAAGACAGAGAGGCTCCCATCTCTTCCAGCCAACTCATCCTGTGGGCCTGCTGGGCACCGGCCCCTGCCCAGGCGCAGAGGACACAGAGCAATGCCCGGCACTCACAAACTAGCCAGGGCCACACACAGGGATCCTGCTCAGCGTCACTTTACCCCTGTCACTGTTGCTTCTGACACACCACAGACGAAGCCCTCGCCGCAGGGCGAGTTGGAGAGCCTCACACACAGAGAGGACTCTGGGGCTCAGAGCCAGCACCCCTAAACCTCCCCCTGCTCCCAACACCCAAAGCAGGTGCTCCCTGATGCGACAAGGACAGTGGTGGTGCAGGTGGGGGCACATGAGCGATGGTGTGCGGGCGCCTGACAAGCAAGTTTGGAGCCCGCCTGTCTCCATAAATCACCGCCGCGCCTCATCTTTCATTAGAACATTCAGCAGTAATTGCTGGCAAAATGCCACTTGCCTTTTTCTCATTTTAACAAAACATTTATGCATGAAAGATTTAATGCCAGGTATCAAGCATATCATTGTAAATTTACCACTAATTAAGCCTAATTAAAATAATTAAATGGCTGTGGAGTCACCATGTGAATTAAAATCACTTCTCTTCCACCCGGCTGTTTCTCAGTGGCCAGGCCCTTGGTTTCAGGGACAAATATTATGTCCCTCTTTCAATTTGTTTCCGTCGTCACCCTGCTCAGCTTCACACTGGCTATTTGTACGGCCAAGGAGATTTGATAATTAAGATAATGCTGTGATTTGATGGTGCGGTTTTTCAATTTCGGGACCTCAGGAGATTTTCCTTTATCTCAGTGAAGTATAGACAATTTGACAAATCTGTTGCTGGGAGCAGTCGCTGGCGTTTGCATATTCATTACTCATTGGATTTTTAATCAAAGTAGCTGATGGACCCCTTGCACCACAAATAACTCGGTCATGAATAATTTATCGGAGCTCACTGGCTGGGCCGGCGCCCTCGGCGCCCCGGGGCCCGTGATTGGCTGGCCAGGGCTGGCCTGCCCGGAGCAGCACATGGCCGCTCCAGATGTTTGGGTACCCATATGTGCACAGCTCATCAAAACCGGCAACCACCCGCACCCAGGGGCCTTGGCCGTCCCCAGATAGGCCATCTGGAGTTGGAGGGGAAAACAAACCATGGTGAATTGTGGGATGCGTGTTTATCTTCACAGGCGCCGGCTGTGGTTGTGAAGGGGCGCGCAGGAGGCGCTGGAATGCCTTGCGTCCTCTGATCCAGGGCGGCAGGAAACGCGGGTACTCGGGAAGTCTCGGGCCATTTCAGATCTTCTCGTGGGTTCCCTGCCTTGCCTGCCTCTTCAGCCCCTTTCTGTACAACCCACCCGCCCCATATACAGGCACACCGTTCCCCCAGGACCTCCCCCAGACAGGGTGTGCTGCACTGCCCCCCTCCGCCCCATAGTTCCCCAAGGGCTCACCTGGCACGTGTTGCTCCTTTAATCCACTATTCCTCTTCTTCTCTGGCCCACCCAGCAAGGCTGCTTTAGAATCCCTACCCCTCTACCTCAGGCAGTCCTTGGAGACCTCGCCCCAACCATGTCGACCCCATTCCATGTCCCCACAGGCCATGCAACATATATTCTATGTGTAAGTGTAGAAGACAGAGGTGTGCACTTGACTGGGTGATATCATAACGTGTTTTGTAGGCCTTTAATGGACCCTTTGCTCCTTTTGATTCTGCCCCTTTTTTCCTTTTCTTTGGAGTGATATCAATTGGCTCCACTGGTCTCAGGGACTTCTACAGGCTTGTGACCCACAGGTGGACATGGCCTTGGGCTTCCGGTGCCAAGTGGTTTCAAGGGCCCTCGTCCACACGTTAGCCTTTACCAGTTCGTTAAGATTTAACCTGTGGCACCTCGGCTGGGAACCCCCCCTGACCCCTCCCACCCAGGGCTGGGGTGATCCCCTACCCTGTGCCTCTAGAGCACCCCTGCCTTGTCCATCACCCAGGAGGCTAGTTGGTACTTGACAGTGAGCCTGAGAGGGTCTTGGGGCCTTGTTCATCTCCGTCCCTTCACACCTAGCTCATGTTTGATGAGTAAATAAATCCTAGATTTCATGTTTGAAAGAACAGGCGCAATGACCTTGGGAGTGAACTCAGCCACAAGAGCAATCTGAAAGTGTGTATGGAAGGCAGACAGGCCCAGCCCTTGCCCAGCTGAGGGTGCCTTGGGCCACAGACCATTGTGCAGGGTGGGAAGAAGGCGGGCGCTTCTGCCTCCCCCTCCAGCTGCTTCCTTGGATACTTCTCAGCACCAGGCTCATCCGTGATAGCGGGGGTCCCCTGGGGGCTCGGATCTGCTGTGTTGCATGGGGGTCTCCCCCACCCCGAGGACTCTCAGATCAAAGGGACAGACTCAGCCTGAGAGACTGACCCGACTAAGGTAAACCTCAGCCACACACACCCTCTCGAAATCGGGGTGTAGGTAGAACAGCACGTTCCCCTGAGCTGCGGCAGGCGAGGCCGTCTCACTGGAATTGCTTCTCCCCCAGTCCAGCCCCGCCTCCAGCACACTGTGGGAGCTGGAGAAGCCTACACCCAGGTCATCGGGAAGGCATGAAAAGCAGGAGGCCAAGCTCTCCCTGTGACAGTTATTTCCTGTTTCTTTCCTACTTTTTTCAAGGTGTGAGGGGCGGTATGATCATACGATGTGCCTGTTTTGTGGGGAGGGAGTGAAGAAATAGTCTGAGCCATAAGCAGGTACTTCCCTGAGCCTGTCAAAGATGAAACAAGCCCCTCCCATCCCAAGTGGTGGGCAGCAGGCCCATGTGAGCGGAGGCTGCTGGTGCACGCTGTGCCTTCCCCCGGGCAGGCGAGAACTCCCTGCTGAAGCCCACTCCAGACCACATCGTTGGAGAGAGCTGAGGCTGCAGAAATCCTCAGGCAGCCGCCCACTGTTAGAGACACCAGCCCAGATTCCAGAGGGAGACAGAAGCAGAGGCACAGCGGGGGGCAGGCAGCAGTTTCTCTTTCCGGAGAGTGACGGTGGAAACAATGAAGAGTGTTTGCCCTCACAGGGCACACAGGCCCCAGGGAGCCAGAGAAAGACCAGCGAAGTCCCCTCACTAGAACCTCCTCCCTCCCTGTCCATTCTCCTCTAGGAATCCACCCACCGGTCATGCTGTTGGCCTGCCCTGCTCATTGCCCTCTGTAGGGACTCTACCTTGAACCATCACCCCTCCCAAGGGAAGCAGACTGGACTGTGGCGGAAGCAAGAACCTGTTCCCACCTGAACCTTGAGGACTAGAGGAAGGGGCTCCAGATGGGCAGAACAGGGGGGAGATCAGGATTGGGGCAGTCAATCAGACTTTCCCGTCTGGAATTTGAACGGGGACACGTTGGAGTAACTGCCAGGTGAAAATGTCAGCAAGATATCGAGACCCAGAGGAAGCTTCACCTTAATGGTAAAGCTTGGAGTAAAACTTTACCACTATTCTTCTGAGGGAGGAGATAAAATTAGCTGGTCCCTAGAGATGACCAGGCTGCTGGACATGATTATTCCTGGGAGTGGAGAGTTCCTCAGCCTCTTCACCATGGTACATGCGAGTATCCTTAAGGTCAGCCCCCTGACTTCGGTCTATTCCTTGCCTCCTAAAGCACGGAGCCCTGCTTATCACCGCCTGCTCCAGGAGGCCTCCCCAGGGCCTCCAGTCCCCACCCATCCGCTTCCCACTGTTGTCCAGGAGCACGCATTGGAGCTCGGGGGTGCAGCAGCAGTTCAAGTAGGTGCAACAGTGTTGCAGTTGCGCACCTGGCTGAGGACTCCCAGTCAGCCATCGGCAGCCCTGGTGGTTCCCGGATCCATTTCAGATCCTGGAATTAGCAGTTAGTGTAGCCAGAGCAGTCACGTGTGCTTCCAGTTCCTTGACGACTACTTTGTTTTCATTGTCTCTGTGTTGTATTGCGGAACTCACAAAAATCTATGTTTAATGGTATTATTACAATTTTAAACTCCAAATACAAGTGATATTTTTACTTATGTTTCCAAGTCAACAAACATTTTACTGAAGGCCTTCTGAGTGAAAGGCATGATGCTGGATACCGAAGACAGAGCTTGATGATAAGAATAATAATGACTCTCGTTGAATGTTACTTCATTGAATTCTCCTAATAGCCATATTGACTGGTGTTGCTGCAGTCCCAATTTTTACCAATTGACCAATGAGGAGACTGAAGTCACGCAGCTGGTACGTGGTAGAGCTGGTATTCGAACCTCGGAAGCCTGGTTCCAGGATACATGCTCGTAATCACTATTAGAAAAAGAAAATAAAAATTCATCAAGAGCTTCCTATTCTGTAGGAGATGAATACCCACAAACAGATCGTTTAAGTTCTTACATTAAGTGCTCAGCATATGCACTGAACATTTAAAACCTGTTTTATAGCACTTATTTCTATTAATTTTTCATGACTTAAACTTACTACGGATAACAAATGTAGTAACAAAGGCTGCTGGGTATAGAAATGCCTGTCTCTTGAGCTCTTGGGGCTTTTCAGGATGGGGCCCAGTGGTTTTTAAATTTATTTAATTATTGTTCAAGTACGGTTTTCTGTTTTTTACCCTATTAAAAGTACCAATGACATACTTCACAGACATAGAACAAACACTTCAAAAATTTATATGGAACCATAAATGACCCCGAATAGCAGCTGCAATATTGAGAAAGAAGAACAGAGTAGGAGGGATCACAATACCTGATATCAAACTGTATTACAAGGCCACTGTAATCAAAACAGCCTGGTACCAGCATAAAAATAGGCACGTAGACCAATGGAACAGAACAGAGAGCCCAGAAATAAACCCAAGTCTCTATGGGCAATTAATATTCAGCAAAGGGGGCAGTAACATAAAATGGAGTAAAGATAGCCTCTTCAACAAATGGTGTTGGGAGAACCAGACGGCTATGTGCAAAAAAATGGGACCCAGTTTTTTGTGACGGTCAGATTGGTAAGAAGTGAAATCGGAAAGCTAACTCAGCCTCGGGCATCTGACGATACACAAGTCAGCAACTGATCTAATTGAGCTCATATTGTTTTGTTTCATATCCCCAGGGAAACTTTAAGCCCCTGGAGGGCAGAATCTGTGGCTTTTCATTCATTAATTCCTTTAACCATGAGAGAAAACAAAAACATTCCCTTGAGCACCTATCAGGAGCCCAGTATGACCTAGTGGTCGGCGGTACAGAGATAAGGAGGCGCTTACATTCCAGGGAAGCAGACAGATGGGCCCAGAGCTGCTGGGCAACAGTACTGGCAGGACTGTAGCAGAGGAGGGAGCAACCAAGTGGCTCTGCTCGGGAGGTGGGAGGGTGTTTGTGTCGCTACAGGACAAAAAAGGAGAACAATGAAGAGTGGTCCAGCTGCCCAGTGTCCACAGTATCCTGAGCCTTCGGATGAACTTAAATGGTTGCATCATCACAGTTGTGGCCTGTGAACACAGTTTGGCACACACGAGGTCTAGCACACGCAGTCTTCCTCTTCTCTCTAGCCCGTGCGTCCTATTCTTTCTCCCTCCTTTACGCTCTCTCCAGCGACCCTTTCTCTGCTCAGCCTTCCCTCTCCCCTTCATCTTATCGTCCCTCTCCTCTAACGATCCTCTTGCCCGCCATCTTTCTCCTTAACTTCTTAACTGTGGTCACCAGGACACGATAGAAAACTCAGACTCTGAAAAGAATAAGAGCGTAGCAGGACTGTGTATGTACCAGCCTGGTTCTACTCATGTCCCACCACCTCCTGGAGGATTTCTGATGCTTGCCAAGAAAGTGCCAGAACACTGGCCTTGGGTTCTGCCCTCTTTCACTGGGTGAGCTGTGGTGAGTAGGGCTCAGCGTGTCCATGCTTGTGTTCGGTCACCTGTATCTATCTATTTACTTGGCAAATAGGATGTTCTAGATCCCTGAGGTAATCACTGAGAGGTTGAGATGAGCACAGTCCATCAGCAAAGTCAAACAGACGGCGCATGAAGACGATACAATGTAACATAATCTTTCTGCAGACCGGATTTGAAAGCACTGGTCTGCAGAAGAAAGACTGCAAAAGAGTTGGAGGCTGATCTGAGCGCCGGAGAGAGAATCAACAGAGAAAGGTGTCATCGAAGCCAAGAGAAGGTTTCAGCACAGGGGTGGTGACCACAGGGTCAAATGCAGCTGAGTGGGCCGAGGGAACAAGAGTGGAACTGCTCCCAGGGACCCGACCACAGGAAGGTGTTGTGACCGTGCGGGTGCCGTGTCCATAGGTGAGGATGGAAGCCAGGTGGTGGTGGATCAAGGAGGGAATGGGGGAGTGGAAATGGCAAGTGCACACAGGTCTATAGAAGTTCGACTATAAAGGAAAGAGAGAAATAGCGTAGTTGCTGAAAACAGACGTGCAGATAGAGTTTGGGGATTTTTTTTTTTTTTTAGGTTGGAAGAGATTTGAGCATCACGGCAGATTCCACTCCTCCACCTGGGACGGGAGGAAGAGCATCTATCAGTTTCCCTTCATCCTTCCCCACAGAGGGTTCCAGTGCTTTCAGCAGCGTCTGCTGTGAGGAGAGCAGACGGCAGCCTCCGCTGTCCTGGGTTCTGCTGGAGGATTTGGAGCCAGCAGATGGCTTTTAGAGAAGTTTCCAGCTGCTGGATTCAGTGAGTGTATGTGCTGGTTGATTCCGAAGGGCACCCGGGCCCCAGAAGGAAGTTATCTAGGGAGCCAGGCAGCCCCTCTCGGTGCTGGATGGCTCTCAGACACACATCTCAGCCACTGAGAAGGGGTGAGCCCTTTGAAAGAGGGGGACTGGCCCAACACTTTCTCCTTAGACCCTGCGAATTTGGCTACTTGGTTCATTTCGAGCAGTCCTGGCTATCTCCATGGGGAAACTTCTTTTGCAGGTCCCTGTCTCCCTGTAGCTCCCTAAGCAAAGGCCCAGGGGGTCCCCGGAGCCAGCGGAGTCCTGCCTCCCTGAGCCACAGACCCTGTAAGTGCTTGGCTGAAACAGTGAAAGCAAGGGGTGCGGGGAGGCCACAGGACACCCGGTGACGGTCAGCCATGGATATGTGAGGCATGTGTGTGAGCGTTGTTATTTAACACGGAAACCAAGAAATGTGGAATTGAAGTCCACCCACACGGTCCTCGGTCTGAGTAGCCTTCTTTCACAGACGAGGAAACAGAGGAAGGAACTTGGGCGAAGTGGCCCAGAGAGTTTGTAGCAAAACTGGGTCCGACCCCCTGACTGCTGGCCTCTCGTACCATCCCCTCCCATTACTTCCAACCTGAACTGCAGGGCTGGGTGTGAAAGTGCATTTGAATTCAGGGTCGTTTTCCTGGAAAAGCAATGGGCTCAAGGCGGTTGCGAGTAACCTCCAGCCGGCCGTGATGGATGCAGGTGACAGCATTCAGGTGGCCTCAGGGAAACCCGCACTGAGCCGGAGCACAGAAGCCCTGCTGTTCGAGCCGAGCGCCCTGCCCGTCTTTGCAATTGTGGGCCTCGCAATCTCTGCTCCGCAGCTGCCGTCTCTGCTGGACCTCGATTCTGTGGGGGCCTGGACTTGTCATCTTCACCGCGCGGGCCTCCCACTTAGTCCACAAATGGCTCAGGGTGCAGTTCAATTAGTATCTGCTGAAGTAATTAATCAGTTAATTAATTCTGTGCTGTAGAACCAGCTCTCCAGGTGGAGAGTGTTCAGATTTCTGACCTGGAACCTGGGGAAAGTGTCCCTCTCCAAGGCAGCTCCTGGGGCAGAATCAGGCCCCCTCCCCTGCTGTGTTTCCCATGGGTCAGGCGCTGGGCTCCAGGTGTCTCTGGACAGCACACACTCATGTGCTTCCATGTTTGGATGCTGCGTGCCTGTGTTTTTTTTTAAGATTGTATTTATTTATTAGAGAGAGGAGAAGGGAGGGGAAGAAAGAGGGAGATGAAGATCGAAGTGTGAGAGATCAGTTGCCTCTCACGTGCCCCCAACTGAAGACCTGGCCTACAACCCAGGCATGTGCCCTGACGGGGAATGGAACCAGCAACCTTTTGGTCTGCAGCCTGGCACTCAGTCCACTGAGCCACACCAGCCGGGGCAAGGATGCTGTGTTTTTTTTAATGCTACCCTGCTACACCCGCTCTGTTCTTAGCCATTCTTTGTGCTAAGCTAACTGCTACCTCCTAACAGTTAGCCCTGCTAACAGCTGACTTCCTGTTACCCCCACCCCTGTTGCTTATTCTGAATGTGCAGCCAGGATTTGTGTGGTTGGCTTTGGGGCCCCAAATATAGGTCTTAATGTTTACCCTTATGAAATTTTATCTTGCTGGACTTTCCCCTTCTATGTAGACTGTCAAGATGTGCGCGCATGGCTAGTCCTTGACATTAGGTCATCAGAGAATTTGGCAAGCAGTTGTTCTGTCTTCATCCACTTGATTGAAACTTAAACTGGTTGGCATGTGAGACGGAGTCCTGTGGCCAATCACTGGAGTCCCATCAGGGTGACACGCTCTTTTTAATTGACCGTAGTCAAGCACTCTTCTCGGTAAGGGTCAATTAAAAGGTGTATTTAACCATACCAGCATGCAAGCTTTGGCCAGTTCTGAATTTTTCCCAAACCTTAGTCCAATGACTAGCTAGACGAAATTATATGACCTTTTGCCATCTTCTCTACCTGGTCTCCTTTATGTCTTATTTTCTCTTAGGCCTCCCATCTCCTCCTTTTGCTCATTACTGCACTTTTTATAAGAAAATATATAGAGCTTTCAGGTCCACAGTGTAAGTTTTGAGAAACCTTAATCCAGCCTAAATTTCCCCTTGGGTTTTCTTATGATTTCACAGAACATAATATAAAATCAACGTGTAATAAGTTTGTGAAAGTAAAGAAAGACATTGTGGACTTCCGCCAAGATGGAGGCATAGGTGGAAGCACTGTGCCTTCTCACACAATCAAGTTTAAAAACAACAAAGTTTTAGCAACAAAAACACAGCCAAACCACAGAAAATTGAACTATATGGAAGTCCGACAACAACAAACCCTTCAGCCAAACTGGTAAGAGGGGAAGAGCCAGCAGCAGAGCAGGGTCAGGCAGGAAAGATCCACCAGACCGACCTGGGTGCACAACCCAGGCGCGCAGGCAGCTGTGGGCAGATCCCAGGTGTGGAGTAGCAGGCGGACCCACTGAGGGCTGACTGCGGTCACACATTCGTGTGCAGATAAACTGGTGAAGGAGTGAGCAGTGAGACAGACTGTGCAGGCCCCAGTGACGAGAAGCAGCAGAGGGGACCGCTATTGTCCCTCTCTGACCCCACCCCCACATACAGCGTCACAAACTAGTGACCTGGGTAGCCCCGCCCTGATGAACACTTAAGGCTCCACTCCTCACATGTAACATGCACAAATAGAGCAAAACATGGCTCAAGAGCAACTCAGAGCCCCAGAGCCCATAAATCTAAGTGATGAAGAAATAGCCAAACTTTCAGATGCACAGTTCAAAACACTGGTGATCAGGATGCTCACAGAACTGGTTGATTTCAATCGCAAATTAGAGGAACATATGAAGGCTAAACTAATTGAAATGAAGGGAAATGCACAGGAAACCAATAGTAATGGAAAGGAAACTGGGACTCAAATCAAAGGAGTAGACCAGAAGGAGGAAAAAAAGACCAAACAGAAAAGGATGAAGAAACAAGAATTCAAAAAAATGAGGAGAGGCTTAGGAACCTTCAGGACATCTTTAAAGGTTCCAGCATCCGAATTATAGGGGTACCAGAAGGGGAAGAGGAAGAGCAACAAGTGGAAAACTTATTTGAACAAATAATAAAGGAGAACTTCCCCAATCTGGCAAAAGAAATAGACTTCCAGGAAATCCAGGAAGCTCAGAGAGTCCCAAAGAAGTTGGACCCAAGAAGGAACACACCAAGGCATATCATCATTACATTAGCCAAGATTAAAATGAAGGGGAGAATCCTAGAAGCAGCAAGAGATAAGGGGACAGTCACCTACAAAGGAATTCCCGTCAGACTGTCAGTGGATTTCTCAAAAGAGACCTTACAGGCAAGAAGGGGCTGGAAAGAAGTATTCCAAGTCATGAAGTCCAAAGACCTATATTCAAGATTGATCTATCCAGCAAAGCTTTCATTTAGAATGGAAGGACTGATAAAGTACCTCTCAGATAAGATCAAATTCAAGGAGTTCATCATCACCAAGCCCTTATTATATGAAATGTTAAAGGTACTTACCTAAGAAAAAGAAAATAAAAGATGAACAGTGAAAGGACAGCAAACTCACAGTTATTAACAACCACACCTAAAACAAAAGCAAACAAAGAGTACAGCTAGATCAGGAGCAGAACCATAGAAATGAAGATCACATGGAGGATTAGCAACAGGGGAGTGGGAGGAGGAGAAGGAGGGAGAAGGTACAGAAAATAAGTAGCATAGACAGTAGGTAGAAAATAGGGGGGAGGGCCAGAATAGTATGGGAAGTATAGAATCTAAAGAACTTGAGACACGTGGTCATAAACTAAAGGGGGGAATGGTGGGGGAGTGGGTGTGCAGGGTGGAGGGGAATGAAGGGGGGAAATAGAACAACTGTAATGGCATAATCAAAAAAATGTATTAAAAAAAAGACATTGTGGGTCAGTTGGTCAGATTCCTGGTTGGAATTCAAATCAATGTGTTATAATTTTCTCCTGGAATGTGGATGTTTTCTTACCCCAGTTTCCCTGGGAAGGACAGCCTGAGAGCAAGCTCACGTGCAGACACTTCCCTGGGAAGAAGTGTGATCCCAGGGTGACGAGAGTGAGGAGGGCAAAGAGAGAACACAGAAGGAGGGAAGCGCTATTAGGTAGAATCGTGTCCTCAAAACCCGTGTGCATCCCGAACCCCAGAATGTAACCTAGTTTGGAAATGGGAGCTTAGTTCAGGTGAGGTCACACTGGATGGGGGTGGGTCTTAAATCTAGCAATCGGTGTCCTTATAGGAGGAAAGAGATAGGGACACAGATGCTCACAGGGAAGAAAGAGGCCATGGGAAGAGAGAGGCAGAAATTGAAGTCATGCAACTACAAGCCCAGGAATGTCAAGTGTCGTCAGCAGCCACCAGAAACTAGAAGAGGCAAAGACGCATTCTAAACTAGAAAGTTCAGAGGGGATGTGGCCTTGCTGATACTTTAATTTTAGACTTAGAGGCTTCAAAATTGTGGGAGAACTCACTTCTGCTGTTCTAAGCCCCCCTTTTGGGGTACATAGTTACAGCAGCCCCAGGAAACCAGTGGAGAAAGTAAATACAAGGTTATGCATTCTGAGATGGGCACCTTTACACAAAAAAAGATTGAACAATAAATCTTATGACGTGTACCTTAGGACCATTTTTTAAATTGAGGAACAAAAAGAGGCTGGATAGATGTGGAGAGGCTGTTTGGAACCTCTGCTGCTTGGAATATTTTGTCAACAGGGAAGAAATAAAAAGGGGTTCTCCTTCCCACCTTCTCTTTCTCATTGGTCAGAGTTTCCCACACAGGTGTAAACTTCTCAGAATGTCCAGACTCTGTCATCTCTGAGCAGCTATAAAAACTAGGCCTGTGTCTGGGCCCCTTCACGGAGCCCGGACACGGTGCTATGAACCGGAGCCTCTGCTCTGAGCACATCAGCTCGGTGGCCAGAGCCAGGTCGCACGGAGCCTGGGCCTCAGACCACGGGAGACAGAGGCAGTTGTTAGTGTGAGGACATGAGGCCTGGGTAGCACCGAGGGGACCCTCTGAGCAAGCAGCTCAGGGACCAGATGGAAGTGAGGCAGGGCGGGGACCTTCAGAGGCACATGCTGTGAACCCAGAGGCACACACACATGCGTCTCTCACACACGTGCATCACAGTGATGCACAATGACACATGTGTATGACAAAGAGAGTGGAGAAGTCACCAGATCAGGGCTCCGAATGTAACACCTGGAAGGGCCAGGCAGGAACACGAGAGGAGAGCCAGGTGCACAGCCGCCTCTGTGATCCGGGAGCACAGGTTCCCTGTGCCAGGTGAGCCCGTCAGGTGGGCAATCTGTTGGTGCCAAGCAGGCCATGCCCCCAGTGTTGCCAGGCCTTCCTACTTTTCACAAGAAATAAAAATATATATTTTTTAAAAAAGGATTCCCCCAGCGTTTCAGCGCTGTTTGGTATTGGGGAAAGATGTGTAAATGCTATGGGGGCGTGAGAACTAGATTAAGAGACTTAAATTGCTCGGGAAGGACAAAGCAGAGGACGTGAACAACCAGAAAGACACACCGTGTTCCTGGATGGAAAACACATCATTGGGTGCTGATGCTCTCCGAGTTCATCTATAGTTTTAAAGTAGTAATTAATAGCAATTTGGAAGAGAGAGACATGTGCATCTAAAGTGCGTATAGTAAAACAAAACAAAACAGCACACATACACACACCAAAAAACAGGCAACGATAGTCGGGAAAAGAAGCGTGGAAGGTGAGGAGTCTGGCTTTGCCAGATAGGCAAGCAAGGTGTGCAGTTCAGTGGCTAAAACAGCAGTGCCGGGATTGAAAGGACAGACGGAGCCGAAAGGAAAGTCTAGAAACGGAGACAAAAATGAACTTAAAATATGATAAAGATAAAATGTTAAGGTGGGGGCATGGATTATAGCTGTAAATGATTGGAAGTAACTTAGTAGACATCTAGAAAAAGAAGTTAGATACAGACCTCCATGTTAAAATAAAATTCCCATCTAATCCAACATACAGTCTATTTTACTCACTCAGATTGTGCATTTTCTGCTTTCCCCTCCAGAACGGAAGTTCAGTGACACTGGGGGTTTTGACTGCTTTGGTTGCTGACAACTCGGTGCCCAGAACAGTGTCTGGTACAGGGTCCACGGCCAATAAATATTTCATAAATGGGTTGAACATATGAATCAAAGTTTAAATGTTAATAAAAAAACTTTTAAAGTTATGGGGAAATCAATGGAGAATGTTTTTATAACCTAACAGTAGATAATACTTTCTAAGAATTAGAAGAACTCAAAAGCCTAAAAAAAAATGCTGAATTTGATCACAGAAAGAATCTTTTTATGTCAAAGCCATTATAATTTAAAAAATAAGGGGCAATCTGGTGGGAAAAAAACTGCTTCTATCTCATACAATAAACAAAGAGAAAGTAACCTAAAATAAACAGAATCTTCTTTAGAAAAAAGACAACACAAGAAAAAAACTGGGAAAGAATATGAACAGACATTTACTAAAAGATGTGCATCCTTTCTAATAAAATAAAAATGCAAATTAAAACTCTGACAAGATGCTGGTTTTCACCTGTTAGATTGGCCGTTTTGCTTCCTCGCCGTGCTGGTGAGAGTGTGAAAGACAAACCCTCTCGTAGCTCAGCCGCCAACCCGCCCAGACCACCGAGGCAGGCGGCGGAATATTGCTTCCCAAGTTATAAACCCTCATACCCTTGACCCAGAAATTCCACCTCTAGAAATTTATCCTACAAATACACTCAAACACTCACTCACCAAACAGGTTATACAAGTTAGTGCAGCACTGTTTGTAGTAGAAAAAGACTGAACACAACCCGATGTCCATCGGCAGGGGACTGGTTAAAGAAATGATGGTATCTCCCAACAGTGGCGTGCGCACGGCCCTGGAAAGCCACGCAGCCTCCAAACAATGAGGAAGTTCTCTGTGTGCCAACACGGTGAGGCCTCCAGAACATGTGTTTAATCAGAAAGGCGGAGCACAGAATGTGTGTATAGTGGGCTGGTATTTGTGTGCTCAGTTGAAAAAAATACACACACACAGGCATATGTAACTGTTTGTAAACTCCTGGAGTATTTTTAGAAATGTGCAGAGAGACCAGTAACACCAGTTGTTTCTAGGGAGGAAAACAAAAGGGCTGGACCCATGGGGAGGAGAGGGACCTTCCACTGAGGACCTGCATTAATAAAAATAAACTGAATTGCTGTAAAAAGCAGACTTCTCTATCCTCCGGCTCAGTCGCAACAGAAGGTGTTTTCTTGTTCATCTGGTAATCCCGGGTGGACATTTTATACAAGAAGGGTTACTTGGGGGCCCCAGCTGATGGTGACTCTCATCTTTAACACAAGACTTGAAGCAGAGTCATCATTGTTCCAGCCCCTGGGAAAGGAAGCCCAGAGGGAGAACTGTGCGGGGTAGGCCTCCAGGGGCCGGGCCTGGAGGGGGCACAGGTCTGTGCTCACATTCCATGGGTGCAGCTTGGTCACATGACCGTAGTCACCAGAGAAGCCAGAAATGCTCAATGGGAAAAGAAGAGTGGATTTGGGCAGACAGCCACCTCGTTTCTGCCGGACTCACTTCCTGTACTTTTTAAATTAGATCTGGCCTGAGAGCTCTCGATCCTATATAAATGGTTTTTGATTTTACTACAGAGGTGCAAATTGTATCAGTGAGAAAAATATAGACTGTTCAATAAATAGTGTTGAAAAAACAGAGTAGTCACTGGGGGGAAAAAACGCAAAATTGGCTTTCTTGCTGCACACAATGTCCCACAAAAATTTCCAGTTGGGTTGATGTGAGACAAAGTATTAGAAAAAATCTAATATTGAGGAAAGAATGTATCTTTAAAAGACCCAGAACTCAGCAGCAACGGACAAATTTGACCACTTTTACAAAATTGTCATAAAAATGATGGAGGACAAAATAAAGTTGAAAGACAAGAGACAGGCTAGGAGAAAATATTTGCCCCATGAAATAAAGACAAGGAAATAATTATCCCACACATATAAATCACTCAATCAGAAAATCGACAAACAATTCAGTAGAAAAGGGGTCAAAGAATGTGGAAGGGGTGTTCACAGAAGAAACACCACGAAGCCCTGAGAAGATGCTCACGCTTACAAGTGATCAGGAAAATGCAAGTTAACATAGCAACGGCAGCGTGCTAGTAGTCACCTACCAGATGGGCCAGGACTGGGGGAGGTGGGTGGGACACAGGGGTGCAGGTGGGTTGAAGAAATACACCTGTGTGTTGCTGGACGATGTATAAATTGGAATATCATTGTAGAGCAACTTGGCGTACTATATCATACTTTAAATGTTCGTAACCTTCAACCAAGACATTTTTCAATAGTCATCCTGTAGAAATACTTGCATATATGTACAAAGCAATATATCTGAGATATTTATTGCTGTATTGCCATAATAAGAAAAAAAAAGAGGGACCAAACTTAATGTTCCTCAGCAGAGGAAGGTTAAACTAATACACTGTAGAAAACTTCACAGCAGTTTGGTTTTTCTTAAAGGGATAGATATATGTAAAAAAAATCAAGGTATGTGTGGAAACATATTGTTAAAGGAAAAAAACAGGTTGTAGAAAAATACATGTACTATTTGTAAACCAAACAAACCATGAATTTGTATATTAACGCAGATGTACAGGGAGGGGCAAAGTACGTTCACTCGAGGAACCAACCATCTGACAGCTGTGGGGCGGGGCAATGGTGGGGGGAAGGGGAGGCATGAATGACCCATGGACGTGGGCAACGGACAGGGCACTGACCATGGGCTAGAAGGGTGGGCTGGGTGGGAGAGGCAAAAGGGAAAAACCAGAACAACTGTAACAGAATAAGTAATACAAAAAATTAAATTTTTAGTGCTAGGAAAAGTGTGTTTACGGTTGTATGTGAAACAGTTTATTCTTGTATTATTACTTATTGATTATTGTATTACTTTTCATGTGACCAACTATAAACCTACTTTGTCCCCACCCTGTATTTAAATGCTTATAAAATAGCCAAGATCCAAACTCTTAAAAGCTAGCACTTGTGGGGAGAGGACTGGGATGGTGGAGGGTGAAAGCAGATTACTTTTGCCGTGTCCCTATACGGTCTGTCACACTTTGTGACAGGCTGTCATAAGCTTTTATTCACAGATTTGTCCACACATACACATACATTCACATCCACATATTAAACATTATAACAGAGCATTCACTGAGGAGTTACCATGTGTTTAGCCCTGTGCAAAGTACTCGACTCGCGTGATCTCATTTAATCTTCACAACAGCCGTGTAACTTAGGCACTGTGATTAGCCCATTGACAGGTGAGAAAGCTGAGGCAATGACAGTTTAAGTCAAGGGCCTGACGGCATGCAGATAGGAAGTGGCAGAGCTGGAGTTCAAATTCAACAGTGTCTGCTTTCAGAGGCCACACTCTCAGTCTTGACTTCCTAACACATTTCAGTTAGTGACCCCTGACTCCCAGCCTGTAGCTCTGCGCGGCACCTGGGTGCACTGTAAGCATCGGAAGGCATGTTGGGAGTGCTGGGGATGCAGCTGGGTGGGTCCCCTGGAGGGTGGGTCCCCTGGAAGTGCAGCTCCACCCCCTGTTAGCCTGGGGACTCGGAGCTGTCTGCCCTTCAGCTGAGCCTGGTAATCCCTGGCTCATTGGCCACACATAGGCTCTGCAGAGCTCTGGCTTACCCTACTCCTGGTACAGATGGGAAACTCAGGCTCAGAGAAGCAGGGGCTCCATTTTTGTGCAGGCAGGGCCCGAACTGCGATGAGATCCCAAGAAGCCCCAAGGCTGCCAAACCCTGTTGTGGTTCCTTCCCCGGTGTAGGTAGAGGCGGAGCCATTCCGCACTGGTCAGGGCCAACCAGGGCAGGGCACAAGCTCTTCTCATTTCTTTGTAAACCAGCCAGGCCTGAGGGTGACTTCTGTGTCCCAAAGCCACTTTGAAACAAACAGGCTCGTTGATTCCTGAGGGAAATCTGCAAACACCTCTTATCAACTGATGGTCAAGGGTGCCAATTCCACACCAACAGGAAGCCCCAGTTTGGAGCGCAGTACAGAGGGAGATTATATGCAATGCAAAACAGTTCAATCGTGATACAGCACAGCTGTGAGGCAGCTCTGGGGCCAGGCCACCCCCTGGCTAGACAGCTGTGCTGTGAGTCACTGGTCTACGCTGCTCCGCTCCTTGCTGCCTGTTCTGCCCCGGTCAGCCCCGTTCTGTGCCAGTCTGCTCTGGCCTGCGCTGGTCTGCTCTGCTCCTTTGACATATCTTCAGTGTTTCAACTCAGCAGAGGAAACACATGCTTCAGTCTTTGGTGGGAGGGGAAAGTGTGCTCCTGGAGCCAGCGGGGAGCTGGCTCATATAGAGAGAAATCCCCACCTCTGGTCCTTGACTGGTTCATCCTCATTCAAAGTAAGACTTCAAATGCTGAAAGTTTAATTGGTCTAAAAGGCACTGTCCTGACTGGTCAGAATGGAGCAACAATGATTGGTCAGTGAAGAAGCTGATGGGGGAAATGTAGCTGTGCAGTTCTGATCCCACGGGGAAAGCCTCAGTCCTACTGGTTGAAATAGGACTCCAGGAACTCCTCCGTAAGGGCCGGCTGAGATGGTAGAAACAGCGTGCAGGCAGGCAGGCAGGCAGTTCAGTGCAGGCTCCTCCCTGAGTTTGTGTGAGAGGCCCCTGGGCAGAAATGGCTACTAGGCTCTGTTCTTTAAACTTTGAGCCTAGTTAACCCCCACGGAGCCCTTTCTAGTAGCTATCTTCTTCCTTGGGGTCCACACTCTGGTGTCTGAACGAGTGTCAGATGGGAAGGACTGGTCCGACCCCGCCAGGGTGATAGGAGAGTGCAGGCCTCTCGGTCCCTCTGTCCCTTTCCCCACCCCTCCTTTCCCTCTCTCCCATTTTACGTCACCTGCCTGCTCCTGGGTCGGGATGAACAATTACGGCAACTGATCTCAACCCATCTTTAGGCCACAGGGACCGCCTTCTGGGTTCACTAAAATGGCCACTGCTGTGCCTGGCAGGTGGACCGTCTCTGGTGGACTAAGGTGATGGTGCCAGACTCCCTGGGTTGGGAGTTCTCAAACAGTATTAAAGGACTGTCCCCTAAAAACCAGCCCCCCGAGGGGCACCCTCGCCTCTCCCATTTTGGGCCTGTCCCCTGTTTCTTCCTCCACTGCCTCTCTCTGCCTCTGTCTCTATGGGCTTGACCGGACACCACCCCCATGTCACCACAATAACAGGTCTCGGTCTCTGGCCGACCCCCTCTCCAGCTTCCCCCGAGTCATTGTGAACTCTGGTAGCATCTCGATTCCAATTGCCCCCCTGCTATTTTCCTTTCAGCTTTCTTTTCTTTCCTCCCTGTCCCCTCCCCCAGCTGACTGTGTTTGCAGGAGCTGGGTGGCCTGTGTCCTTCAGCCGAGAGGAATCCAGGCTCTGGAGACCCACGTGTGGCTTGGGACCTGCTTGCGAAGCAGCACCGTGTCCACGGGGACCCTGCTGGGCTCTGAGTTCTGTCGCTCTCTCCATGGTATGTGTCAGGTACTGCCAACATGGTGTACCTCGGCATGATTTGCCACGCTTCCCTTTTGGATGTGTGGACAGGCTTCATTTCAACCTCTGAGCCTAGAGCTAGGATGGTGATGGTGGCGGTGCAAAGGAACCCAGGAGGAGGCTTGGGGGCTCAGCTCTGCACCGGCAGAGCGTGGTTTCACCCAGGCAGGCACATCGTGAGTCACGAGGCGCTCTGGCATTCTCCATGGTGAAGCGAAGCTTGAGTCCTGCTGAGCCTTTCTGACTTTGCTCCGACAGGTGTGCTCGCTCTCTCCACAAGCTGAGGGCCTGGGGCACATGCCCACCTTGTCCCAGGGTGCTGTCTGACCCAGACAGGTGGCCCCAGCCAAAGCCCCAGCACCATGCAGTGCCCACCGGCACGTCAGGGACTCATCTGCCTGGTCAGTCTATAGTGACATAGGGGCCTCTCCTGCCAGAAGGTCGCCTCCTCCCCCAGCCATGTAAAGGCTGCCCTTCAAGAGAACCTTTCAGGTAGGCTGCCCTTGGCACCAGGGGCTTGGCTAATGAACACTCAGTGTGGAGGAAAAAACACTGTACTCGGGGGCAGGAGACCTGAGTTTTGCCCAGCTCACCAGGAGAACACAGATGGGTCATCACCTTACCTGAGCTTCAGTGTCTTTGTTTATACATCTGAAGACCCACTAATAGGAAATAATGGAAGAAATGAAGATACATCCCACAGTGGAAGAGGTTGTCATTGTGAGCTGACGTCTATCCTTCCTTTCTTTTAGTAACAGTGGGGCTCATAAACCTGCACTGCAAACTACACTTCCCAGCCTCCCTTGCAGTCAAGGATGAAGGCCCTGAGACAGAAGCAGCCATGGACTTGTGAGAAGAGTGATGTGTACGTTCCCTAGATCACACCCTTAACAGGGAGCTACTGCATTTCCACTTTCCTCTTCCTGGACTCCTTCTCTGAGGGTGGTAAGCTAGCTTCTGCCACACGGATGGGGACAACGTATTGGGAAAAAAACAGAGAAACCAAACAGGAACGTCCAGGTGCCTGCACGGGGTGGTGGAGCTGAACTGCCCGCCCCCCCAGACCACCACCTGTTGTAACTCTTGCACGAAAAAGGTGCCTCCTACCATGTTAAACTTCTACTATTTGCTCTTTGTTAAAGCTGCCAAACCAACGTCCAAACCCAGACTAGTCTTCATGCTGTGGAATACTTTGGGAACATTAAAAAGAACCCGGTAGCTCTGTCAGTACCTCTAGGAAATGATCTCCAGGATGTAGTGCTGGCTGGATGAAAAAGGCAAGCTGCAGAAAAACACAGAGAACAGAATTGTACGCCGGCTACAGCACACACAAACCCCCCACACATGGAGAAACACACAGGTTTCACCATGTCGAGGTTCATTCACGGAAAAGCACAGAAAGAGAACTGAAAGGACACATGCCAACTGGTGACTGGTAACTTCTCGAGAGAGCTCTAAGGTTGGGTCCTAGAGGGTCAGGTAAAAAATTATGTTGTTCGTTCAAATCACTCATAATGAGGCTGTGGTGTCTTATTTCTCCCTCCAGCTATGGCATGTTATGACCCTAAATACGCAGGGTCTGGATTTGACCCTGTCACCCTCCACCACAACCCCCTATTCTTGACAGGCCCCTGGGACATCTTGGTGAATCAGATGGATCTCTGCCTCATCCCACCAAAGCCTCCCTCTCTCCCGCCTAATGCTCCAGGTCTTTCTTCCTCCACTCCCTGTGTTAAATGTAATCTCCCCTTAATGGAATCTATAAGACATGTTTATTAATTTTAGAGAGAGGGGAAAGGAGAGAGAGAGAGAACAAGAAACATCTATGTCAGAGAAAAACTTAGAACCGTTGCCTCTCCCATGTGTGCCCTGACCAGGAACCAAACCCACAACCCAAGTATGTGCCCTGACTGGGAATTGAACCCATAACCTTTTGTTATATTGGGATCATGTTCCAACTCACTGAGCAACCCAGCCAGGGCTAATCTTTCCTTTATTTATGTCTCTCTCTGATGAGCACGAGCTTGGAAATTATATAATAGGCTAATGCTTCTTATGGGCTTAATGACTGATGTCTCAGCGGATGGTGTTTCCTTGCCCTGCGCCCCATCTCATCTGTACACCCGGGTGTGAAACTGGCATAGAGCAGGTGCACAGTAAACACTCGGGGAAATAGAGACAAGCCTTGAGGACATCAGGCCAAGTGAAATCAGCCAGACACGGAAGGCTGTACATCGTATGATTCCACTTACCTGAGGTACCTGGAATCGTCCAAATCTCAGAAACAGAGAGCAGAGCAGCAGTCGCCAGAGGCAGGGGAAGAGGAAAACGGAGTCACTGTTGGTGGACGGAAAGCTTCCGTCCGGGAAGGTGGAAGCCCCGCCCCCGTTCTGGAGGCCGTGGTGGGGGCGCCTGCGCAACAGTGAGAGTGCACTTAACGCCACCAAACTGCGCACTCAGGACAGTTAGAATGGTAAGTCTCATGTACGTTTTGCCGCAATAGAAAAATCAGTCAAAAAGAAAAGAATAGACTAGAGAAAAAAAGGAAGGCAGCAAGCCTATGATGGACGAATTTGTAAGGGCAGAGGCAACATCTTTGTGCCCTTTGGAAAAATACCCAAAATGCTTTATTGTTGTCTTTAAAATTCTTAGCACTGAAAACTTCCTTCCGAGCCACATCGATCTAAAAACAAGGGCTAAATCATGCGGCTTTGAGCGTATGTTAAGTGAAAATGTTGCCTTCCAAAACCAAATTCGACACCACCAGATTATTGCTGAAATAAAAGAAAGGAGGGAAAGAAAATGGTAATATAGAAACACAGGACAGAGCCCACTTCAAGAGGCGTTTCAAGGGGGCTGGAGGCCAAGCAAATGAGGACTGGAAAGTGGCAATGGATTTAGAGATTGGGAGGCCAGAAGTGCCCTTTCCAGTACAGACACCTGGTGTGGCAGGAGCAGAAGCCTGATTCAAGGGGTTAAAGCAGTCAGTGGTGTCTCTCACACACACACACACAAACACACACGCCTTCCGAAGACTGTGGTATAAGATGTATGATACCCATTCATTGGACAAAGCTGTTACAGAATTATATATATATAATATATATTATATATTATATATTATATATTATATGTAATATAATATATAATATATATTATATATATTATATATTATATATATGAAAATCATATTATATATATTATATATATAATATGATTTTCATTGATGTTCAACTTAAAACAACAACAAAAGACT